AGGAAGGAAGTAAGCTAGGCCTCGGTGGAAAGTCCCACAAAAGTTCTGAGTAAAAGAGAGAGTTCTTGTCTGTAAAACCGGCCCAGCGGAAAGGGGTGGACCATTTCTTTTGGAATCGATCCTTAGCTACGTCTGACACAGTATCCTGACGCTTGATTCTGACCCAATCTGCCATAATGTCTAATCTAATTGCGAGTTTGAACTGAGAGAACAGGGAGGGGAGAGAAGACTTGGACTTAAGGAAAAGCCTGTCTCTTCTGGCAATCCAGATGAACCAGAAAGCCCTTAGTCTGAAAACCTGAGCAACTGTCCCAATCTGCCGTTTGCTGATGTCGGGGTTCAATCTGCCTGTGATGACGAAGTCTTGGTTCCAAAAACCTGCAGAGCCGTATGCATCCATCCACAGCGAGTTCAGGCTGTCCCAAAATCCTCTGGCAATGATGCACTCCCACCATAAGTGTAACCAATCCTCTAGGCATGGGTGTGGGCATGCAGTGCACAGTGTAGATATGTCCATGCCATTCTCTGAGCACCATAGTGAAGTCGGGACGCATGAGTGCAGATGCATCCATTGGAGACCCCCCACTTTGGTCTCAAGAGAAGAGATAATGATGTGAATAAAGAACATTAGCCATTTGCAGGATAGAGGTTGGAGTTTAAGAGCGGAAAGTCTGCGTTGCCAGTTCAGGATAAGGCCTGTTTGCAGGGAGTGGGCGTCAGAGAAGAGGGAATATCCTAACTGCAAGGAATACTCTCTGATAGGCACGCTGGTACTGGTGCCATTGACCTGTGAGACTTTCCAGCCGTATTTGCATACATCTGCTTTCCATTTGCTGATTGGAATGGCTGCCATGATTATTCGACTGTCGGGGCGGCCCTGTGCATCTTTTGAGTGTTGAACCCTTACCTCATCCATCTCCGACAGAGTAACTTGCTGTGTGTCCCCAGTTTGTCTCAGTCTGCCTCTGACGAGGGACCATTCTGAAGCCTCTGTTGTGCCATCACCGTTAATCTTGTCGACCCTTAGAAATTTGTCCACCGATAAGGGGACTTAGAACCATTGGTCCTCCCTGAAAACCTTGTCTGTTTGCTGGAGGATGTGTAACCAATTGCAGGGAATGGCTGCTATTATTTCCTCCAGGTGTTCTGCTTGCCGCTGCAGACCAGTGAGTTGCTGTTGAAGGTCCCTTGTAGTTTTCCAGCTCATGGCCTCCTCGTCCCAGACATGGCGAATCAGCCAAACGCCCCGCTGCATCCATTTGAGGCCGAAGTTGCCTGCTGATTTGGCAACTGAAAATGGGAGCCCGGGCTTGTTACGGATTAGGGGGTTTTCAAATAGACAGGTGTTCAGAACCTCGATTCGGGTGCTAGGGTCAGTTAGTATTTGAGGGAGCATTTTCGACCAGGCTTTGAGAATGTTATTCCACGTGTTAGTAGAGGGTCTGTTAGTGAAAGGGCGCATCAGCAGGGCACTCCAGACCGCCTCTGGGTCTGAGAGTTTCCATTCCTCAGCTAGAGAATATTGGGCAAGAATGATCCAAGGTTGGTCTTCTGTGGATGTCAAGGCTCGGACCGGCCATTTGGCCAGCAGGGCACGGTTCTGGTTCTCTGGGTCTAGGATACCTGGACCTCCTGTTGTTTTTTTCTCTGTGATCTTATTCCAGCTTACTTTGCTAAGGACCGACTCTGCTTCTGAGTTACCTTTCCATAGTAGTCGTGTGATGAGGCGCCTGATGTTAGAGGAGTTGGAGGAGGGGGATCTGATGGAAAGGATGTACCAAATTTTGGAGGTTATAAATGTGTTAGTAATGATCGCTCTTCCAAAGAGAGAGAGGAAGCGGGTTTTTGACCACGATGAACAGGCGTCTCTAATCCGATTTTCAATTATTGTGTTTTGAACCTCTGCTGAGTTGCCAAAGGAGACCTGAATGCCTAAGTACCTTTCCACCTCCGATTCTGATTTTACCTGGATACCCAGATCCAGGGCCAGAGGTTGACCGTACGGGGTAAGAGCGACTGATTTCTGCCAACTCACACTCATTTCAGATGCTGCTTCGTAGCTCGATAGGCAGTGTTCCAGGGCGGTCAGCGAGGTTAGGGAATTGTCCGAGATGGCAGAAAAGTCATCAGCTAGTGCTGACACCTTAATTGAGAAGGATGGGGATACTTGCAGGCCTGTGTAGTCTGGGTGTTGTCTAACCCTGTTCAGCAGTACTTCAAGTTGAATTACAAAAAGTGAGGGGGCTAGTGGGCAGCCCTGGCGTAGTGAACGTGTGACCCTGAAGGGTGTGGAGGGGTGTCCATTAACTAGCACCCTTCCGGACGATGCCCCATAAAGTGCCTTAACGAGTTTCCTGTAGTTTTGCCCCACTCCTACCCGTTCCAGCGTGGCCTGAACAAAATCCCAGTTCACCCTATCGTATGCTTTTTGAAAATCGATGAGGATCACAGTTTTGTTCAAATTGTGGCTTTTAATCCAGTCGATGGATTGAAAAATGGTCATCACGTTATCCAGGACCTGCCTGCCAGGAATGAAGCCAGACTGGTCTGGGTGTACAAGCTTGTTTAGGAGGGGGTTGATGCGTCGGGCCAATGTCTTGGCTAGGATTTTCCCGTGTACATTCAGACGAGAGATTGGTCGGTAATCCCTGATGTCTCCTTTGTTTCCTTTTTTGTAAAGAAGAGTTATTATTCCTTCTGCTGCGTGAGGGCCCAACGGTTGTTCCATCAAGATCTGATTAAACACCCGGAGGGTATCTGGTGCGAGTAAAGTCCAGAATTTGAGGTAGAACTCGACGGGCAGGCCATCTGGTCCGGGGCATTTGCCCTTGGCCATGCTGTTTAAGGCCGCTGTGAGTTCGAAAAGTGTGATTGGACCTTCCAGAGAAGAAGATTCTGTATCAGAGAGAATGCGTAAGGTTGCTTCCCAGAGGGCGTGTTCCAGGTGTGGTGGGATGATGGGGGATTTAGGGGGTTTCTCGAAAGTGAGGAGATGCTCATAAAAGAGCCTCACATACTCACACAAGGGAGCCAAGTCTCATGCGGGTGGTTTAGCAGGATCATCTGGATGTTCTAGGAGAGTAATGAGAGTAGAGTCGCGCGTGTGGCTGACTGCTGTTGCAGTTTTGTTAGTGAGTCTTTCGGTGTAAAGGATTTTGTCTATTTGTCTGTGTTTTTCCCATAAGTTGTGGTTTCTGATCTGTATGTTTTGCCATTCCTGCAGAAGTCTGACTCTTCTTCGTTGAGTCACCACCCTTGAGAAAAAGGAATCCGAGGGTTTTTTCTCCAGGGTACCGGTTCTTCTTTGGAATTGGAGTTCTTCGTATTTCCTGTTTACCGCCTTGACCCGGGATACGAGGTTGAGTTGGTTGGAGAGGAGAGTCAGCCCCTTGTCCAACCATAGTCCATCGTTCTCAAACATTGCGGTGTTGATTCGCTACTCTTCCCATGTCCTCCAGACTCATTCGACCACTCCGGGGTCGTCGAGAACATGTAGGCTAAGACGAAACAGTCCTCTGGCCCTGGTGACTTGGAACCCCATATTGATCTGGAGTGTGACTGGTTTATGGTCTGACATTGGGTCGGTGACAATAGTTGCCCTGTTGGACAGTTGTAGCACAGCATCGTTGGTGTGGATGATATTCATCCTTCTCCGCGTGAGGAGCCCATCCTCAGGGAGGTTGGAGGAGATCCATGTGAATTCCGATACTTTCGGGTGGATCGTGCGATAGAGATCAAACAGACTATTATCAAACATAAAGTCATTCAACTCAGCAGATTCTCCTGGATGGGATAGGGGGGTGGTGGAGTCCATTCCGAGATTGGGGACTGTGTTCTAGTCCCCCCCTATAACCAAGAACTGCGTGGGTGGTATAATGCCAGAAAGTGCAGAGAGAAATGGGCCTTTTAGGTCGTGGACGCCAGGAACGTATACTGACATGAAACACCACCTTTGATTATTAATTTCCAAAATGACCCAGCACCAATGGCCGAGGGGGTCTGTCTGGGAATCCTTTATTAACGTGGCCAATTTCTTATGGATCAGAATGTCCGTGCCTCCTCTGGTTCCTTGGGCCGGGGACCAAACCTGTGGGCCGCTCCACCATTCAGGCATGGAGGAGAGTTTTTCGTCTGAGAGTTTGTTCTCCTGTAACATTGTGATTGCTACCCTTTGTGAGTGGACCCATGACTTGAGGTGGGCCCGCTTATATTTCTTGTTGTTGTCCACCAATCCTCTGACATTCCATGAGGCTACAACGAGTCTATCGTTCATTAGCAGCGTTTGGCTGCTGCCCGTGATGGATTGGCGCGGAGGAAGACCCGTTTGGGTCAGCAGTAGACATCATGCTCGCCACGTCCCAAGGGATCTTCATCGACTCGAGGATATACCTGGAGAAGATGGATCGTTCCTTGGGGATGTGGTCGTCGAGTTCTGCAATCACATCCCCTCGGTGACGGGAAAAAGCGTTTTTTCGTATTGCTTCGCTTGAACCAAGCTGTGGGGGCCCACAGCAGGCCCTTGTCCACGATTGCTGGGTCCGTTCCGGGTGCCTGAGCAGCCTCCAGAAACATGCTGAGTACTGGATGATTCTTACCTGATTGTCCTTTTCTGTAGACCAATGAGCAGGGCATGGCCGGGACTGGGCGTACGAAGTATTTCCTGTCCAGCACTTTCCGCGCTGAGAACAGGAAATCATTCGGGTGCGGGAAATTGCTGGAGGTCAGGGATGGCAGGAACAGCTCGTTCATATCATTCTGCTGCAATAGCACAAGTGTGTCTTGGTTGCATTGTTTGAAGATAAGGGGAGCCAGCACGTAGGGAGTGTCCTGCAGAGCCGCCGGGGACATCGGGCCCAAAACGACTGGGGACTGTAAAGGTTGTGGGGTCTGATCTTTCTGTACATTGCCATGATTCCCAGCCTGCCCCTGCGGTTGGAGTTGATTGGGGGTCGGGGTAACGTCCATTGTGCTTGATCAACCTGATCCCTGTTTTTTCCCAGGCACTTGCTCCTTCCCTGCGATCAGCTGTGCCGAGGGGATAGAGGATGGGGAAGTTGTGCCTGAGCTCGTTGAGGGACAGGAGAAGCCTGCAGCGAAGCATGCTCCTCCCAGCCTTGCAGAGTCGGCTGCTGTGCCCCCAAGTGGGGAGGGCCCAATGGGGCGCCACTTCCATTTGTCCAGTGCTGGTAAACCTACATTCACATTGTATTGTTGTCCGTTAGAGCCCCAGACGTGTTGAGTAGGTTGGGGGCCCTTCTGCTGTTGAAACAAGGTGTTGCCTTGGTTCCAGCCAGGTTGCCTCTTTTTCCGACCTGTGTGGCGCGGGTCCTGATCCCTATGAGAGAACTCCTCCCATGAAAATTTCCTTTCGGAGTGCCCTGTCCGAACGGACTGCCACCGATCTGTTTCGGAGGGGTATGGCAGTTGAGAGGTCTTCCCTTGTTTGTTCCATTCATCAGCCTCGCAATCCTCTGTTGTGTGCCCGTATTTATAGCAGTAGTCACAGAACGGGCAGTCATCCGGTTTATGTCCGTGTCTGTTGCACTGTGAACACCAAGGAGTATTGGAATTGACCAAATCCGTCATAAGATAGTCAGAGGCTGTCCATATCTTCAGACGCGATGTGAACCCTTCCTCCGCACTGGGGTGTAAGTGATATTTTAAATTTCCCAGTTTGGGGTCCTCCTTATCGCTGATGGGAGGGAATTCCATGAGGACTTTGCCCATCGCTGCCTCCAGGCCAGTTTTGATGAACATAGAGGCAGCGATGGGGAAGCGCATAGCCATCACCCAGTAGTTGTTCTTCTTATCTTCTTCCCTCTTCTGCTGCCATTCCGCTCGAGGGAGCCAAGGGCGAAAGTGGACCAGATGCCATTTATTACCTTCTTTGAATTTCATTTCTTTTTTCATTTGAATGAGTCACTCAACCACTTTCAAGCTCTTTGCGATGTATGTCATATGACCCCTCCCTTCCATGTGTGCAGTGCCTTTCCGAGTTGTCAATTTCTCTTCAGTCAGCACTGATTCCTCCAAATACCGGATCAAATCAACTTTTTTGTCATTTGACCAGTTTTTAGTTTCACCTTGGAAGACGACTGCGACCGTCATTTGCTTAAGAAAGTCATTTTGGACTTTCTGAAACTTTTCGGTGGGTCGAATCTCGATACAGTCATCTTCCTCGCTGACATTGGTTTCCACGTACGCTGATACATCCTGAGATATATGGTCTCAGAACCATCCCTTCATCATATCATTGAGTTTCTGCAATTCGGCTTTTTCCCCGTCCGTGTCGGTAGGAGAGCCTCCCGCGGTTACTAGATGCTCCGCTTCCATGGTGGAGCTGAGAGGAAAAGCTCAGTGCAGGTGCGGCGGCAAATGTGGTGAGAAGCGGGGGGAGTGGTCAGATAGCTATTCTCCTAGTGCAGTAGTTTGGGGTGGGTGAGGAACGGAGGAAGATGGACTGCGAGGTTGGAGGTGACTATGAGTGTCGTAAGGATTATGGAGGCAGTGAGAAGGTAGTAGCTTGCGGCGCCCTGCCAGAGCAGCCGCAATAGCCGTGTTGAGGCTAACAGTGATGACGACTCACTTAGCAGATTCGACCCCAAATGGACAAAGGGACCAAGTGCATGGAAAGTGATGATAGCCTGGAATGAACTAGGTGTGGGGCGGTGGTAGGAGAACAGTGAACTAAGAGGAATTTCGAACTGTAGATTTCGACAGCACTAACGAGGAAAAATAGCAGCAGCAACGAGCACAGAGGTAGGGTCAAAGCCAAAGGGCATGCCAGTCCAGAATATCGAGCCATTTGTAATGAGGGCGGGACAGTAGTTATCAAAAGTAATAATAATAATAACAATAATTTAATAGTAATTAGTAAATAAAGTTGTCACTGGTAAGGTGATTATAACGAATGGAATGAACTTGAATCACAAGCAAATACAGTGAACCAAGACGGGGTATAAAAATAATAGTGGTACTAATGATTATAACAGGGTTAAAAAAATTGTCCCAAGTGAGGTGGTAAAGAAAAGAATTGAACTGGGGGGAAAGAATTCCGGGGGAGAGATAACTGTGGAGGTGAGAGCGAGCAGTGGGGGATGGGCGAGGCGTGGAGGGATGGGCGAGGTGTGGAGCGGGACAGATTGTGGGGAAAGAGAAAAAATGCGACGAACTAAAGAATAATACAGGAATAAAGCAGATTTTGGTGTCCCTTTACATCGAGCCACTAGTAACAATAGTTCAAATAAATAATAATAATAATAATATATAACATTAATAATAATAATAACAAGAGTGAAAACTAAAGGGGGATCCAAACGATTCAAGGGAGGTAAGCGGTGTTGTTTTCAAAAATGGCCCACTCCAATGGGGAAGAAAGGGAAAGAGAATACCAGAGAGAAAGCCACTCACGAGATAGAGCCGACTGAGGGTCATTAGTATGTGTCAAGCTGTGTCAGAGTAATGCAGAACGAGGGAAAGAATGTATCTTCCCGAGGGATGTGTGAAGATACTCCTGCACTTTCACTTTTCGCAGGTTCGAAGGACAAGAGGGAGATAAGGTTAACGGGGGAGCGAAAGGTTGAGAGCGACACGGACAATAAGGACTGACTTAAAATATTTCTTAGGTATTTTTGTCACAATAGCGGTCGGATGACCGCAATCGCGTCCCCAGCGGGATCGGTCCTACTGGCCGCAGACGGGATCACCTGCAAGGAGAAAAATAAACTAGACGAATGACAGAGACAAGCGTGATTGTGTGGAAGACGGGAGGAGGGCGAACCGTAAGGGAGGGGCGAGGCATGAAGTGAGACGGAGGTGTCGATAAGGGGTGATTATGAATGGAATATGGGAGGGGGTGTGGGGGGGAAGGGAGTGTGCATATCCGATATTCCGAGAGGGAGGAAGTCCATGGAGGAGTAAGTAATAATAGGAATAATAAAAATAATATTAATGCTAAGAAGACAATAAGAATATTGATGGAAATATAAAATGTCGACCTCAATACTGACCACAGATCGATCGTAAGGGCGATGACAGTAGGGTTGTAAAGACGCGAAAGACAGAGTAAAAATGGTTTCGTGAACCCGGGGGTCAGTTCGATTGGGGTTGCGAAGAGCAGACGAGGGCGGGAAGTGGTCGGGGTTGAGCTTGTTGGAGGTGGTGTATAAGACCGGGGTAGGGTGGTGAGAGGTGGGATGTGAGGGTGGGAGGGGAACGGGAGATCGTCAAGACTGACAGTGGAGAGAGAACGGATAGTAGGTGTTGGGACAGAGCAGATCGAGGAAGAATCCGCTGCATGGGGGTAACGTAAGTAGGGTGGCGAGGAACGCTATTTTGTGTCAATGAAGGGGTGAGTGATGCGGGGAAAGAGAGGAGCAATGTGACGGGGGAGGGTTGGGAAAGGGCAGGGAAGTGAACGGGAGTGAGAGCGTGGGGTGTGTGGGGAATGTCCGCAGATAAGGGATGCCCTTATTATCAATAGCAGTGATTGATACTGTTCATGATATAGAGGGGAGAAACCTAGAGTATAGAATAAAATAAAGGTAGTAATGCCAAAAAAAAAAAAAAAATCAGGTCGAATAAAGTTCGGAGGCAGTGGTGGGAGAGGGAGGAGTGGGCAGAGGGGTTGTCGGGGAGGGGATTGGGCGCAGGAGCATGGGTGACACAGGGATGCGTGAGGATGGATATGGGCAAACGCGGTAGGCAGGTACACGTCGTGCGCATCGGTCCGGCGACGCACCAGGGCAGCGCGGGACCCTCCTGACCGCATCACACAGGAGTTGGTTTAAATCCTTCGTCGCAAGTTATACATGTGGAGCTTCCGCAAGCCGCTCCGGCCGAGTGCGCCAGCCATACCTCTCGCGAGCCCCTACGACAGGATAGGGCCTACGCGAGGCACGGCTTACCTACACCTTACGGACGCTGTCACCTCCCTTCGGTGGGCGTATCCCCGCCGAGCTACCAGTCCACAGTACGAGAGCTAATCAGTTGCAGTCATAGAGGTGGACCTGCCGAGGGCGTTTCTCGTTTGCTGTAGCATAGGGGGTACGCGTGGTAATACGCCTCTATCGGACCCGCAAGCGAACCGTCCCATCATGGGGGAGCTGAAGTCCCAGGCGCGACTCGTCGTCGGTCGACTAGGACACATCCCACACACCACGCGCACACCACTTTACGAACACAGAAATAGAACACAACACAACATAAACAACGCGACAACGCTCCAAGCCCCTCGATAGCCAACTCATAACTTTCCAACGCGGAAAGTCGAATACGTGTCGCGCACGAGACTTAGTATAAAACTGCGCGGACGCAGGGCTAACTCATATCGACTCGGAATGCAAGCGTACGCAAGCGGTCGCAATGATAGCGTACCATGTAGTACCCGTACTTATGCGGTCCTCGTTAATCTCGAGGGTCACATTCGACACTCAAGTGTCGGCTGACACGCGCCTTGAGGGTTAATCTCTCGACGCTGGACAACCGTCATGCGTCGTTGAAGACCACACACCCTCTTCTGCACCCTTATGCAGAGTGGGTAGTACACAGGTCTATACCTGTGGTGGTAGTCGTCTCTTGCGGCCCTAAGGGTAAGTCCTTCCCGGGGCCTGGGCGAAAGTCAAGGGGTTTGACTTAAACGGCTGCCACGGACTACAACGTCTAACCATAAAATCTTTAAAAGCAAAGGGTAAGGAATAGGCCGACAGTTTCCCCCTTGCCTAGTAAAAAAATTCATAATCGTGAGGTACCCTCCCCTTTTCGCGTGGTGTCGGCGACCTATAGTAATCCCAAACATTCGTTCATATGTGTTGATCCCTTTTTAAGCCCATAACTTTTAAACACTAGAGCGGCGAAATGTCGCAGGCGGAATTCTAACATGAAGTTGCGTAGATGCGGGCCGATCTCATACCGACCAACGATGTCAACCATACGTGGTAATCGCGGCTCAAGCCTCGCGATATTGAATGGCTGAAGGAATATATCGTGGGGGGTTACCCCACACGATATTGAACGGCCGAAGGACATGTCGTTCGGCCCTCGCGACATTTCGCCCTTCAGGGTGGGGTGCCTCGATGGGTAAAGCGAATAGGCGCTACGCGAGGGAAAATCCCTCCCCTGCAGAGACTAGGGTTTGGGATGTCCTGGACAAGGACCTTGAATCCCGGCCCAGGACCAACGTCCGACTAAGAAGATCCTCAAGAAGCAAAGCAAAATAAAAGGAAGGGTCTTCT